TCTCAAAAGATTCAATAATTCAACAATCACTGTTCCTCCACTAGCTTCTTTGAGAAAAAGTTTAGTTTAGGTTAGTTTAGCTCACTTTATTGTCATTGCACATCGTACAATGAAATTAAATGCCATTTTCAGTTTGCATTATACTATAAAAAACAAAACACACACACACATCCTTCACACGCTATATAATTGAAACCCGATATTGCATTAATATTGAACTATACCATAGAATTCAATATAGTTACTGCCCTGGGATAGAAGCTGTTTTTCAGCCTATTTGTCCTTGTTGTTATTATCCTGTACCGTTTGCCAGATGGTAATAGGTCAAAAAAAGGGGCCCAGGATGAGATTTAAGAATGTTTTAAACTTTCTGCTGTTGACTAAGCCTGGCACTTACCGTTGAACCCCGAAATAATCTCTTGTCATTATTTTTGGGGATATATTATTTTTGAGGTGCAGGAGGAGGCGAGCGTGGTCACCTCATGGTTGCTGCTGTGTTGCAATATTTTCGGGGAGGGCTTATTTTCGGGAAAACGGGGTATCAGGATTTTTCCCCCTGCTTTTCTATCAAGAAGCTAGATGCTCAACGAAAAGCAGATAACTGGAGAAACGCAGCTTAAATCAAGGCAAAGAAAATATACAAGTGGCATGTATATTCCTTATGTAATTAGCAGAATCCTGGTATGGGTCTAGGACACATATTAGAGAATGATTGGGTATATATTAGAGAATGAAGTATTAAAAGGATTTTGAAGTGATTTGGTCATATGGTAGAGTCCCTGAGGATTTTACTCTGTTAGTTGTTGCCGACGTTAGGGGGTGGTGCTCATCTCCGTTTCAAGGACATTGAGCCAGCCCTGTCTGAAGATGTTTCCGTGGTAATGTGGCCAGCACGACATCACGGAATGATGTTACCTTCCCACCGATATGGTACCGTGGCACTCGGGTCTCGAACCTGGGCTGAGGATTTTCTTCCTAACAAGCACAGCGTCTTAACGGCTGAGCCACTGCACCGCCCTTGTTCGTATTGAGCAAAGCGTAAAAGAAATATAGAGTGAATGGAAGATCAGCCAATTGAGCTGATGAGATCTCTTAAAATGAAAGCGGTACAGATTTTAAAAAATGAGAGGCAATGTACGAACTGGTATCCAGAAACAAGAATAATCTGCAAAGTCACGCCCTTGTTAAGAAAGACAGTGAGCGATGTTCAGCTATAATCATCCTTTTTTTCTTTTCTTTTCTTTCCTGACATGTTTCATTCATTTGGCTTGCTTTCACTTATGGCTTTTCTGCGCTCCACATAATGATGCGGGGGTCCTATTATGCAGTTCCCTCCCAGCTCAGCATAATAATGTTGAGCTGGGAGGGAACGGCGTAATAGGTTCGTATAAATGAATGAATGGACCACACTTTTCCGCTTATTGGTTAAGCGTCTACAACAAAAGTCAAAATATGGCAGGTGCGAAAAGATTTAAATGTGAATTGTTTGCATCTATGGGGGTGGGGGGTGGCTAAGCAGGACCGCAGCCAAAAGAATGAAACATCGATCATGTCTAATTTGATACTTAACGTGCAAAATACAGGGACGTGTTGCTTTCGTGTTGTATATACATTGTTGCTTATATAGGTGTCACTGGCTAGGTTTAGGAAGGAAATGGCTGGTGTATGCTGCGGGACCAAGAGAAATAGGAATCCAGTTCGATTTACACACCACCTGCGTGGGCTGCCCCTGCTTGCCAACTCCCACTTGGGTTGGCTGCGTGAGGCTGATGACCGGCTGCTGCAAGGTACTCGTGACAGTGGCAGTGGTCTTTCCCGCCGTACGCTGGACCGAGCTGCTCAACATCACGGCGGTCAGAGCGGTCGTGGGCTGCGTCAAGGGCTGCTGATTCTGGCTTTGCTGAATGAAAGCGGCTGAGTCAGGAGTCAGGTGTCTCAAGGCAGGTAAGCTCCGCTGCAAGAGAGATGCAAAAGCTCTTAGCAACTTAAAGAGAACCATTCAAACCACCACCCACTCCAAAAGAAATTCCCCCTTTTGCATTGTTTATTCAAACTGACTGGCAAGGTACCTAAAAGTGTGGTACAGATAGTCCTCGGCTTACAACAGTTCATTTAGTGACCATTACAACGGCACTTAAAAATGTGAGTTATGACTGTTTTTCACACTTACAACCGTTGCAACAAACCCATGCTCTTATGATCAAAATTCATACTCTCTCTGCGAGGGAGGCAGACGTAACTTTGAGGATGTATTTAAGTAGCTTTTTTGAAATCCAGTGTAACTTCGACCAGTAATTAAGTGCATTGTCATAAATTGAGAACTTTATCTCTAATCAGGAACCTGAAGCTAATTTTAGGCTGTAATTTGAAGGGAGGGAGAAGGAAAAGAGCTGTATAAAAATGAACAAATAGCAGAATCCTTCTTGAACTGAGTAATTCACAGGGTGGACAATCCTCAATCGATTGCAAATGAGACCAGGATTTCTTTCGAAAGTCGTTGTGATAGCAAGTTCTTATGACAATTTTTACGGTGTGTTAAGCAAATCGCTGAGATCGTTAAGCAAATCCACTTTGCCAATGCACAAAGTTCTTGTTGCTGTTTTGTTTTGTTGGAAATCAGCCAAAAAGTTTGAAATCATTGCCACGTGACTGCAGGATGCTGCAATCAGTCATAAATAAGCTGATTGCCAATGCCCAAATTGCAACCACGTGGCAGCAAGGGTGGCACATTGGCCATAAGTATTATTAGTAGAAATGGGAAGTCACTTCCAAAGGCATTATAACTTTGAACTATCATTTAACAAAGGTCGTAAGTGGAGGACTACAATTTTTTCTCTAGAGAATATATAAAGAGAGTGAATAAATAAACTCTTTTTAAATGGAATCCACAACCTGGCTACAATTTGTTCCTTGCTTGTGACCATGTTATTTTTCAATTTGTTTTAATCACACATATACTCAATAGTGCCCTATAAAGAAATGTCATGAAACCCACCCGTCAGAAACCATGTACTAAAAAACAAAAAACAAACCAGGCAATTATCGATTGAACTGATAATTGCTAATTAACATAAGCTGCCTGGAAAATAAGATATCCCATTCATAACATGTAATTGATTTCCTATCTGCATATTACCAACATTCAACAGACAAAGTCCTCCCTCAAACCATGTTTTTAGCAGAAGCACCTTCAGTCCTCAGCTAAATTATTTTCAATAGTTTTTCTATTCAACCAATTTAAAAACCCCTCTCCTCCATAAATTGGACCATAAGAAAGGCTGAGTGCTAAAGAATGGAGGCTTTTGAACTATGGTGCTGGAGAAGACTCCTTGGACAGCAAGGCAATCAAACCGGTCAGTCCTAGAGTCCTAGCAGTCCTGACTGCTCTTTAGAAGGCCAGATCCTGAAGAGGAAACTCTAATACTTTGGCTACCTAACGAGAAGGAAG